TAATGATAGTTCGTTGAATAATCTTGATTTTAACTCTTTTCTCGGTGAATATAAATTCATTATTAATTAAATGGAATTACTATCCATTAATTATTACTAACACTATGTTAATTAATTCTAGTATAATAATAGAAAGATGCGATGAATGACTCTACTATTATTATCTTTTTATTTATCTTTTTATTTTATCCTTGTTTTGTTTTTTTAAAGCCAAATTATAATCATGTTTTGGAATAATAAACTTTTTACAGCATTTTTTTATTCTTGTGAATGGTAATATTGCGAGTTAACATTTGGTTAATTAAAAATTATGGCTTAACTTTTATACTCTTGTCAGTTAATTGAAGTAATTTGGTGCTTGTCAATTAATTAGTATATGAATTTACTTTGGTTCCCTCTCTCTTGCACCTAGATAACTGTAAATAAATAAAGATGGCCTTTTACAAAGCTCAAGCGCTTTTATAAAGTTCCTTTTATTTACTTGCGATCTATTTATTTCAGTTGTTTGCATTTATTTGCCAATTGCAAACTTGCTTTGACTTACTTGCAAAACAACTCAAGTAGTTTGTTTAACGGTCTTATGTTTATGATTACAATAATATCACCAGTATTTCCTATTAACCTTTGGACAATACTTCATTAACACCCACTAGTTAACCAACATTAGTCCCAATCTTGCTACTCATTAAAGCAAATTATGTTACTAATCGTTGTTAATACTCACTAGTTAGTCTTAACTTTGCTTGCTTGCTCACTAAAGCAAATAAACGTGGCTTGTTACCAAAGCTCCACAATTGTTACCTTTTACCATGGCACCAGCTAAGGTTGTGGGCGAAACCTCCTTAGTAATTGCTGAAACCACAGCAAAACTATATTAAATCTTATCAAAAATCCTGTTGAAACTATGCCGAAATGGCAAAACCTCAAAATGCGAAACTCTGCCGAAACTCTAATAAACAATTAATGTGTAACATGCCGAAACCCTGCTGATTGATTTCTGGATGAGTTTTGGCAAGCAACCTTAGCACCAGCTACACTTGTTGCTTTTATCAAAGCACTTTAAATAAAGAAAATAAAGATAATGTTTTATTTTTTTATTTAATAAAAATAATGATTCTATTATAGAATTTTATTAGAATGTTGTTAATTATCTATTATTTTTCTCTGTTTAGACCAGAAATTATGCTTTTCAAGCAAAGATCAGAAATATAAAGATGGGTTTGTTATTGCAAAGTAACTTAATCAATCAATATTGATATTATAAAACTTCTATAATTATTTATAAAACCTTTGTGTAAAATTTTCATATAATAAAATTGGAAAATAAAGCACTGAATTCCTAATCAATGGTTTTATCTGCCCAATCATTGTATCACGTTATTAATATTAGTTTGATTTTAGTAGTAAATGAGTGTATTGGTATTCAGCAAGAGAAAACTTAGCTCCTTGTAACAACTGATAAAACAAAGGAGAGATTGGGATATACAAGAAAAATATAACAAAAAGACTTTGAAATATATATTTATAAGTTTTTTTTTGTGAGCTTTTATATTTTATTAGCCTTAAAGCAATTTTACTTAATATGGGCACACTGCAATTAATCATCGTCACAGATATAATGTGACATGATTTTTATTTTTATTTAATTTTTCTAATAACTCCATCATCAACTGTATTTTCGTTATTTTCAATAAGTTCACCTTCATTTAATATTTTCGACATACTTTCTTTTAGTGCGTTGACATTTTTTTTGATTTCGACTTGAAGATAGTCCAAGATATCAAACATTTAGATTGACACCTTTGTAAACAATGATTGTGATAACCATATCCACTACAATTATTCAAATTAGTATAGTTAATGTAATCACAATATATGTAATTGCAAAAAATGTTTGTAGATGGTTCCTAGAAGTAACAAAGCCTCTTGGAAGGTGACTAAAAAAGGCAATTAATACCATTAGATGAAATTTTAGTAATCAAAGGATGTTGATTTCGTGCTTGATGTAGTTGTTGCTGGACGTGAATGCTATGATAATTTTCAACATTCTACATGAATGCACTTTTAGAATATTTTATAAGTGCATTCTCTACATATTTCTCATGTTCATCTGCAACTTGCTTCTTTTCATGATCTATTGCTCTTGATGTTGTGGTTGCTCCAAGATTTGTAACTATCGAATCTAAATAGAATGCAAGGTTGAACTTAAAAGAGTTAATTTTTGTATTAATTAATGAAGCAAGAAAATAACATATGAACACTTCTTATGGTCCATCGTATTTCAACTACATAAGCTTCTTTGTTTTCATTCTTGTACTTTTGCTTTAATAACCTTTGTACCTATTAAAAAGAAAGAATTCTTTATTTCCCTGTCACTTAATAAAAATGAACAATTCTTTATCCACCTCTTACTAAAATAATTCTGTCATACTAATATATTTAATTCTTTACCTTTTACTAATAATAAGTTTGATTGTTTGTATTCTTTATTATTATTTACCAAGTATAAAATTTAATTCTTTGTCATCTCTTACAAAAAATCAATTCTTTAAAGAAAAAGTATTTTAATTTAATAACGTCGCACAATTTTTATTGGATAACGATCACGTGAAAGTCACGGGAGTGCACTTAGAGAGGGAGTTTTATATAGATGGGAATGAAAAAAGACCGTGGAGTAAGGGGGAAGGGAGTGTGAACTTATCTCTAATTCCCGAGCTTGGAAAGCGTGCAATTAGAGAGGGGTTGACTGTACGTACATTATACGCGGAATCAAAACATACTAGATCCTTTCCAGTATTAGTATTAATATGTCACAAATTCCGTACCTTATATACGACTTTTCAGTATGTTACAAATTCCGTAACTATTCCGTATTTTATATGCGGTATTAAAACGTACCTTTTCATTATTTTAAAAATTTTGTACTGATTCCGTATCAATTCTGTATTTCACACTAAATTTGAAAAGGGGTAATTTTTCAAAACCGTATAAGAAATACATTAATTCCGCATTTTATTTTTCATAGGGAAAATATATGGCCATTGATTATTTTGACATAACAATATGCACATTAATTAACTACATCAAATTGTTAAAAGATAGTTGCCTTAGTATTAAGAAATTTGTTTTTGGTTTAAACATTTTATATATATTATTTATTTATTTATATGATTTATTATTATTATTGCTCACATGCAAAAAAATTAATAATTAGTAAAAATTGCTTTTTTTTATTTTTTGCAATACATAAAATTTCATTCAAGTAACAATTTGATTAAATCAAGCAAGTTTGTGTATGAAAGTGTGATTTTTTTCTTCGTTTTTTCATATAAAATCAAAAAAAAAATTTAGGGCAATTTTTGATGATCCCAAAAAAATTTGGCGCAACAATAGGAGGTCTTTAGACCGAGCCAACAATATAAAATTTGTAAAGCTTCTTGAACCTTATAACTTTCTCAGAATACATATGATTGGACACAAAAAGTTGTTAAGTGTGAAAATAAGAAGAAAATTTTATTACTCAAATTTCTTCCATGAGCACACAGACATCTGGATAAAAGATTTAGATAAATTGAACAGATTTGTAAATGATAACCAAGAAAATATACCATCATTATCTTTATTAACATACTACTACCACTACAAAAAATCAAGTTATAGAAACAAAAATCAAACAACAAGAAAAAAGAACAGGCTAACAAAAAAAAAAAGATTGTTATTTTTTTTATTTTTTTTATTTAGAACCGATTTATATATTTATATATCCAAAAAAATCAAATCAATAAATTATCACACATTACAAAACAACAAACAAACACGATACTATTGTTACCGGAATTAGACTTTAACGCAGATATTTTGGACGAATCTCATAATTCCGGTCAATTTAATTCTATTTCTATTTTTATTTATTATTTACTTTTAATTTCATTTATTTTCTTATTATTAACGTGTTACGAATATTCATTTTATTAATATTAATATTAATTAATTAATCCGTAACACGTTAATATTTTAATTTATTTAACTATATTTAGTAGAAATTAGTGACGATGCGTCCAAATGGGCTCATGAACCCAAATGGGCCTATAATTAACTAACGAACTTGAATTTGACCTACTGTAAAAGTAACTTCTGATAAGTTAATTAGTTTCGACTAATTTTATTTAAAACTTTTATCTTTTTTAAATAAAATTATTTGCTAATAACAAAATCAATTCGTTCATCCCCTATTCATTCTGATCCACTCAAATACAAAAATAATTGTTATCACCAATTAATCCAAATTTAATCGGTGACACTATTATATATATATAATTAAATTAATTAATTGATTGAAAAAATTTGAAATAATATTTATTTTTCTTTTCCTTTATTCCTTTATTATTTTAATTTTCCCTCCTAATTTTTCATAATGTTTAATCCTTCTTTCTTCCTTCCTTCACGTTTTACTATATTCCTTCATCTAATCATCATTTTGTCCGATCAACTAATTGATTAAAAAATAATTATGAATTTTTTAAATAATAATAATAGTAATAATTAGACTTTATATAGTAAATAGTATAAGTAAATAGTAAATAGTATAAATTTAGTTCTTCTCTTGTCCTTTCTTTTTTGAATTTACATGCATTTTTTCCATTTATTGTTTAAATTCACAAAATCAAATCACTATCTAAAAAATCAAACAAACAAATCAAATCAAAATTAAACAAAAAAATAAATAAATAAACAACTTTTTTTTTATGATATTGAATATATGTATGTTGCGTGCTTTGAAATTGGGAATATAACTAAATGTGGGGCGTTTGGGTAACATTGAGTGCAGAGCCCCTTTTTTAATTGGCTAATTTTTAATTTGAATGCACGCACGATCCCCGTTTTATCACAGAAGCAGGGTTGGCATTGGACAATGCTGTACATTGTCCAATGCATCTTGTGGACATAATATTAATATGTTGGACATTGTCCCAATACATATCCAATGTCCATGTCCAATGCTATCTCTGATAGAAGGTATTCGTTTGGGGTGACTTGACGTCGTACAAAGTCTCATGAGGCCTCTTTTTTGAATTGGAGAATTAAGATAACGCGCCCCATTTCTTTGACTTCTTTGTCAAGATATTTCCCAACTCATCCAACTTGAAATTGAGAGAGATATTTCGTTGCTAGTGTTGTTGTGATCTAGATATTTTCTCTTTATTTTGTGATATTTTTCTTGATTTCTTCTTGGACAACTCACACCTAGGTTTCCATAAATTTGTGATAATTGTTTCCATTGTTGTATTAGTGATGTTTGTTGTGGATTACAACGTGTGATTTTATATATATGGTTTGTTAATGATTTTGGAATTATGCCATTGGTTAAATCTAGAAAGGTGATTTTTTGTTCATTATAATATGGATCCCAGAAAATATCTGATAGTAAGTTATTTATATTATATTATAATCTTTATTATAATGTTTGAATGATTTGATTTTTTCTAATATGGGGCATACTGCAACAAAATGAACATTATGTCATAAAGAAACTTTAGGGTTCAAATTTTAATATAGTGCGGATCATCTATACTCAAAAGTTAAAATTTTGAAATATTATGTGATTCACATGTTGGATTTTTAAAAAACCACCACCATTCAACTTTAAAAAGGGGGTCAATTCATATACAGTGAACCTTCCGTAAGTGCACCCCCTTGGGAATAGAGGGGAGAATTTTATTGGTTGCACGTGATACTAATAAAAATTATTGTTGTACGACTTTAAATATTTTTTTAATTAATATAATCGTTTATCAATTACAGGAGGGATCGGTTGAATTTCAGTTCCTAATTCTTGTTCAATCTTGTATAAATTAAAACGATCTTCATAGGTAATGAGATTAATCGCAAGGCCCAAATGACCAAAACGACCAGATCTACCAATGCGGTGAAGGTATGTTTCAGCATTCTTTGGAAAATCAAAATTAATTACCACGTTTACAGCTTGAATATCAATACCACGGGTAAGCAAATCTATATATATGATTTAATAAAATAATATATAAATTAATGTGCTTAAATGTACATCTAAATAAATAATTTTTTAAAAAATAAATTTACATACCTGAACATACTAAATTACGGCAGACGCCATTTCTAAAATCATGGAAAACACGATTACGATGACTTTGTAACATTTTGGCGTGACTATAAAAACAAGAGTATCCAAGTTCAGTAATTTTTTTAGCTAGAAGTTCGACTCGATTTGTTGAATTACAAAAAATAATCGATTGATTGATTTGTAACTAACAAACATAAGAAGAAGGTATTGATAATGAAGTTGATAATGGTGGATTAAAGTAACCGTAATAATTACGATTGTAAATCAATATAAAAATATAATTAGTCGGTAAATTCTAATTTATATAATTGATTGATCGATCAATCAATCAATCAATCTCCCATACTGAATATAATAAAATTACAAACCTTCGAGAATAAAGTATTAAGACAATGTACTTTTTGTCTCTCTTCTACAAATGCATAGTACTGTGTTACACCGCGAAGAGTTAGCTCGTCCATTAAATTAATTTCATATGGCTTCACAAGATATTTCTCCTATTATTTCAAAAAAACAAATCATTGCAGCAAATATTACACAAATATTATTATTCATTATAATTACTAATATTATTACCTTAAAACTCTTAACAATTAAAGGAAATGTAGCACTGTATAACATTATCTGGCGATTTTTTGGAAAATATCCTAATAATTGTTCAACAATTGGAGAGAACTCCGGACTTAACAACTTATCAGCCTCGTCCATTACGAATGTTGGACACTCACTAAAATCTGCAACACCTTTACCGGCCAAATCCAAAATACGACCAGGTGTCCCAACAACAATATGCACAGTTTCAGATAAACGTAAAATATCATCTTTTAATGTTGTACCACCAGTTGTTACCATCACCTGAACACCCATATGTTTACCAAGACTTTTGCAAACTTGTGATGTCTGTAAGGCCAACTCCCTTGTTGGAACGAGTAATAATGCTTGAATTTTTGGTTTTTTAGTATTGATTTTCTCTAACGATGGAATCACAAAAGCTGCAGTTTTACCAGTGCCATTTTTAGCTCTCGCCAAGATATCACGACCGGTAAGGGCGATAGGTATCGACTCTTCTTGAATAGGTGATGGTCGTTCAAATCCTGCTTCAAATATCCCCATTAGTAATTCTCGTTTCAAAAAGTAATCTTCAAATTCATTTCCCTTTGTAGCTGTTACATCCTATTATTTATTTTGATAAAAATTAATGTGTAAAAGAATAATTAATTAGTTGATTGATGCATAAAATGTATAGATGCATAGATATAATGAATTAAAAATTAAGATAACATATTCTTACTTCAGTTTGTGGTCTTATATCTTTAGGAGGTAACCGTAAATTCTTCTTCCAACTATCATTTTCGTGGCTGATAATTGTTGAGAGAAAAATGACATTTGAATTTAAATCAGCTTCTAATTCATATAAAATTCATATATATACATGTATATATATATATATTCGTTTTTATATATACATATTATATCATATACATATATATAATAATTGTGATGGGACAAAAAAAAATATATATAATTTTTTTTAAATATCTAATCGAATTATATATATATATATATGTGTTCTTTAGTATAATTTAAAAATTTTGATCAATAGATTCTTATAACTCGTAGTTAAATAAACATTTCTTTTCATCAAAATTTCTAAATTCTACCCAAAATGCTAATATGCAAACGAATATATATATATATATACTTCTAATTTTAACATATATAAGTAAAGTGATGAAACTCACTTGAGATGGTGTGTCTGGTTATGATTCTGCATATTACTAGCCATTATTAATAGTTTTATAATATATATATATTTTTACAATTATTATGATACAAAAGGTTTTTTTTTTTGGTTTTTTGGTTTTTGTTTATAATTTAAAAATAAAAAAGTTTATGCTTTCTATTAATATTATCGTAATGTTTAGTGTTATGTTGTGTGGTTTATTGTAAAATAATAAGTAGCTAACTAACTAAACAAACTAAACAGTAAAAAAAATTTTTTTTTAAAAAAAAAGTTCAGTGGGTATTTACAAAAAAGTGAAGGTTTCTTGATATAATAATAATAATATTTCTTGTGACACATCACGAATTTTTTTATATGGCAATTAACTATAATTTTATTCAATGTGGTTGTGAAGCTCAGGTATCTAGAAATTTCAATTTAGTCAAGATTTTTTATTATCATAATTATAATTATGTTTGATAAGAAAAATTCTCTACATAATCATTAATGAATTTTTTTTTTTTTTGAAGAAATTTTACATGAAAAAAACGATTCATTTTAATATGTCTGAAAAAAAAACCCCCAAGAATAAAATGGTTAATTGAAATTCTAATAATCCATCTCATCTCGTTAATTTAAGTTATAAAAAGTGCTGTCAATACTCAAGAGTAACTATAAAAAATCGATGAAATGAATATTAAAAGAATTGAAGCAATAATTAAAAATCTCAGATGCACCCAATGAAATCTTTGTGATAACTTCATAGAAGAAATTTGTTTGTGCACTTTTGAACTTCAAAGATCTTAAAGATCAACAACTTTTGTACTTTTTTTTGTGTCCCTCACCGGCATTGTTATGATTTGATTCCTTGGGGAAAAAAGTGTGTGAAACGTTTTCCGACATTGGGAATATCTTATCACACAAACAATACATAATTGTGAACAAGAAATTTTAATTAATATTAGATAATTAATTAGGGGCAGGCTCGCTCACGTAATGATATTCATGTATGAGCCTAAACAAATCTCATACGTGAAGATCATTACGTGATGAAGCCCACCTTTATAATGAAGGAAAATTTTTACCATTAATTATATAAAAACTATGAATTGTTGTTGTTTGGTGGTTGACTAGAAGAGAACGAGTAATCTTGCAAAATGTCATCAAATGGATCTTTGGGAAGTGATAATTTTAATGGCATGTTTAAAAACGTCGGGTCAAAATTTTGCACATCGGCTTCATGTTCAATAGGTGGAATGTAAGGTGATGGTAAACGTTTCTGATAGACGTCTTGCCAATTTATACCCATAAAATATGCATGATTTTTGATTCCTTGACTTCCTAATTCGCCGCCTCCTAATCTAACTTTTGGATCTTTCTTTAATAACTGGACCACAAATAATTTTGATTGTAAGTAATAGATTATTGCTTTTTTAAATATATATTATATATTTTTATTCACCTCACTTAAAAGACTCTTAGTTTCGTAATCCATCCAAATTGGATACTTTACATCTTGTTCCAACACATTCTTGTATATTTCATTTGAATTTTCACCTTGGTACGGTGTCTAGATGTTTGTTTTAATATTCAATAAAGACATTAATATATGCATGTGTCCGAAAAAATTTTTTTTTTGGTGCTTTTAATTTGCAATTACTTACATTCCCAGTTAAAAATTCATATAACAACACTCCTAGACTCCACCAATCCACGGGGAAACTATAGCCCTCGCCTCTGATTATCTCTGGTGCCTATTAAAATGTTCGCTTTTAATACATTCTCATATTTATTTATACACATCTTAATATTTAGAAGAAATTTAAGATTACCAAATATTCTGGTGTACCACAAAAAGTATTTGCTCTTGATGACGTATTATTTAATTGTTTTGATAAACTAAAATCTGTTAATAAAATATGTCCATCAGCACCTATTAGAATATTTTCAGGTTTCAAATCACTAAAAACAATTATGAGTTAAGTTATTATCAGCATATAATCAAGATATAAATTTTATTTTAAAATATGTATGTTTAATATTTTTTACCGATATAATATTTTAAATTGGTGTAATTCTTCAATTCCTGTTATTATTTCTGTCAAATAAAACTTACTAGTTGATTGGTCGAACCTTTTAAATTTAGCTAGTCGAGTTGCTATATCTCCACCAGGACAATAATCCAAAACCAAATATAAATTATTTGAGTCTTGAAATGATTCGTGTAATTTTACCAAAAAAGGATTTGATGTGTTGTTAGATAATTGTACAAATATGTTTCTCTCAGATCTGATATTAACTATTTGTCGTTTTATACATCTTGTTTCTTTTTTGATTATTTTAATTGCGACCAATCTTTCGTTTCTTTTTTTTTCTTTGGATAAAATAACTTTTCCTATTGTTCCTTTACCAATAACTTTAAGTAATTCATATTTCTCAAAAATATTATTCGCCATTGTTGATGGTTTTATATTTTTTTTTCGCATCATTGATTTGGATTTTTCCATATTATTGATGTTTTTCTTTTTATTATTACTCTTACCACTACTAATACTGCTGGTAGTGGCAGTGGTAGTAAAAGAAATCGCCGATTTATTATCACATTCGTCGTCGTCGTTGTCATCGTCATTGTTAACATTATTAGCAGTTGTAGCAGTTATAGGTGTGATTAATTGAGATGCAATAGACGTAACGAGTTGATTTGTGGAAATATCGGTTATTATTGTCGCTTTTTTTGATCTTCTATTTCTAGTGATAGGAGCAGCAACAGTGGTAGCTGTAGTAAAAGTATTAGAAGCCTCATCACTGGTTGATGATTCTGATAAATTAGTGGTCACATCAGCTTTATCAGTTGATTTTACATTCATTTTTTTTGACCCTGTTCTTGTTGTTCTTATAGAAGAAATAGAAGTAGCTGTAGTGCTTTGTTTGTTTTGTTGAGAAGATTTAGTTATATCAACAAGAATATTAGTAGTTGAGGCTGCTACTGCTGTTGCTAATGATGATTTAGACCTAGTTCTACTAGCTATACTGTTAGTGCTAGTTACCACCATCTTTCTTCTTTTTCTCATAATTTTTTTGTAGATTGAGTATAATTTCTAGAGTAAAAAAATTAATAACGTTTAATTGTAAAAAAAATTGTAAAAAATTATTCATTGTTTTTTGCCTCATTTATTTCTCATTTGAAGATCAATTTACAGCTGATTTGCACAGATTTTCGCGTATTGCCTAAAATGGGAAATAACATAAATAAAAAATAATCATCTAAATCTAATAAAATAACTGTTTTTAATCTCTTTTAAAAACATTATTATTTATTTATTATTATTATTTAATACCTGATATTATTTAATATTATTATTACTATACTTTTATCGAAAATTTATTCCAGTTATTGTTTATCTATAAATAAATATATGTGTGTTATTGAATAATCAATTATGCGTAGAAGTAACATTAAAAATTCTGAATTTAAGACACCTTTCAAGAATCCGTCTGTTATATTAACTACAGTTACGGAAACAACAACAAAACCAGCTACAATAGCACCGGCACGAGAATTTCAGCTTAAACCACGTGATAGGCTTCAATTTAAAAGAGATAAATTACCAAGAAATGCTAGAAAACGTATGAAAGTTGTTGATAAAGGTGACGATAACGATGATTCAGATTCTTTTAATGACTTTGCTGATTTGCAACCAGAGTCTGGCTCAGATAGTGAATATGAAGATGAAGAATACACTCATAAAAATAATAAAAAAAATAATTTGCAAAATAATGTTAATAGACAACTTGGCATGAAAAAATTATCATTAACAAGGAGACCATTAGCACCATTAAATCAAAACAATTCACAGCAACAAAATGATAATGCATCTTCGCCAGTTAAAATTGGTTGTGGTGGAAACAAAGTTCCCAATGATTCATTTAAAAAATTGTTTCGTCCTTTCAAAATGCCAACATTTACTAGTAAATTAAATGAAAATGGTGGTGTTGATCTATTTGATAATCGACCTGTATTAGGAGGTTGGCGAAGACCAGCCACAAAAGCTTTACATGACCCAACATCTGAAAATGCAATCATATTATATGATCCCGTTGAAGAAGAAAAGATTGAGGTAGAAGAAAAAGAAAAAGAGAATAAAAGTGAAGGAGCTGTTACTAATCATGACGAGGAAGAAGATGATGGCGGTAATTCAAAAAAGATCCAGGGAAAAACTATTTCTGAAATTCTAGGATATAAACAAGTTAAATTTGATAAAGTACATGTCGTCGTTGGTACGAGGAAAAAATTTTTATATTCATCATGTTATTTTTTTTGTTGAATAATATATTATTATAAGTTATGATAATACTCACATGCATACATATAAAAGATCCATTATTGGGGAAAAAACTTAGACCACATCAAGTTGAAGGTGTAAAATTCTTGTATAATTGTACAACTGGAAAAACATTTCCTGATGCTTTTGGGTATTTAAATTATTTCAACAACGATAAAAACGATAAAAACAAATGCACCCATAAAAGGTTTCTAATAATTTACTTTTTAAATGTAGATGTATAATGGCTGATGAAATGGGATTGGGAAAAACTGTAAGAAAGAAATTTAAGTTATCTACAGCTTAATGTATTAATGTATATAGATTTATAATATATTTCTAATATATATTGCAGCTTCAATGCATTGCTCTTTTATGGACACTTTTACGTCAATCACCAGAACCTAATAAAGGTACAATTGATAAATGTATTATCGTATGTCCTTCAAGTCTTGTACATAATTGGGCTAATGAATTAGGTAAATCTGATGTTTAATTATTTCAACCTTTTACTTTTTATACTAATAATAATTGTATTAATATTAATGTTAATAATTTCATTATCAATTATGATTGATAGTTAAATGGCTCGGTTCAATAAGAATTAAACCATTGGTTATGGATAATAAGAGCAAAGATGTTTTGGTAAAAGATTTAAGACATTTTTCTGGTGCACAAGGTCGAATGATTACACAACCAGGTAATAATATTAATGACATCAGCAACTTTAATAATGCTTAAAATAAATATATAATTTAAATATATATATATAAATCAATAGTCTTGATTATTTCATATGAGTCGCTTCGAGGAAATATAGAAGAATTAAAAAATACTGAAATTGGTCTTTTATTATGTGACGAAGGACATAGATTAAAAAACTCAAGTAAATATTTCGTGCGTGCGCGACTATGTGAAATAATAATCATGTTAATTAAATAGTAATTTTTAACCAATAATTATTTTTGTAATTATATATAGATTCTTTAACCTTTCAAACATTAAATTCCCTTAATGTCCAACGAAGAGTAATTTTATCAGGGACGCCTATTCAAGTAAATACATAAATACGCACGTTCATATAATACATAAATATTTTTATTAATTGTTGTTATTGATATTTATATTACTTATTTATATATATATTAAAACTCCAAATTCAGAATGATCTTTCTGAATACTTTTCATTACTAAATTTTGCGAACCCTGGTCTTCTTGGCACACCAAATGAATTTCGTAGAAATTATGAAAATCCAATTCTTCGCGGTAGAGATGCAAATGCCAGTGAAAAAGATAGAGAAATAAGTGACCAGAAATTATCTGATTTGTGGGGAGTTGTTAGTAAATTTATTATTAGAAGAAGCAATGATATTTTATCTAAATATTGTAAGTATAAAAATATAGTACACAATTTCATGTTATAGCAATGGTGATTAAAACTTTTTTTTTTAAAAAAATAGTGCCTGTCAAGTATGAATATGTAGTATTTTGTCGATTGAGTAAATTTCAAGCTTCTTTATATAATTTCTTTATTACATCTCCCGAAATTCAAAAACTTTTACGTGGTGCTGCTTCACAACCTCTTAAAGGTATTATTATTATAATGATATATTTATATTTTCAAAAAAATATTTGAAAAGAAAACTAATCTTTTAAGTTTTATATTTATTTAGCAATTACAATTCTTAAGAAGTTATGTAATCACCCAGATTTACTCGATCTACCTAGGGATCTTCAAGGATCAGAAGAATGTTATCCAACAGATTATTCGATCAAAGAGAAGTTAAGATGCGTTAGACCAGAGTTTTCTGGGAAAATGCTAGTTCTAGATAGGTTTATTGACTTTTGAATTCTTTATTTTATTTATCGATTATATCAATAAATCAATTAATATACTTGTTATTTGTTGATAATATAGAATGTTGGAAGAAATCAACAAAAATTCCAATGATAAAATTGTATTAATATCAAATTACACGCAAACATTGGATATATTTGAAAAGCTATGTCGGAACAGAAAGTAATATTTATCCCTTTGTAATTATTATTAATATTCATGTTTATTTTATAAAAGAAAATTTTTATATTTATAAATAAATAAAATTAAAAGGTATGGATGTCTAAGATTGGATGGTAGTATGGCGATAAAGAAAAGACAATCACTTGTTAGTCGATTCAATGATCCAAAAGGAAAGGAATTTGTTTTCCTATTGAGCAGCAAGGCTGGTGGTTGTGGTTTGAATCTCATAGGAGCTAACAGGCTTGTTTTATTCGATCCTGGTAAAAATTTTTTTTTTTTTGAAAATTAATAATATTACAATATTGATAACTAAATTATTTTATTAATAGATTGGAATCCTGCTTCTGATCAACAAGTAAAAATAAATGAATAAATAAATAAATAAATAAAATTTGATTTTTATTTGATTATTGATTTTTATTTATAGTCTAAATTAATCTTAATCGATTTATTTATTAGGCATTGGCTAGAATTTGGAGAGACGGCCAAAAGAAAGAATGTAAGTATGATTTTTTAATCAAAATATAGGATCACAATCTACAACAGTCTTGAATCTTTTGTTGAGCGATTCTTTTTTTCTTCTAACCTCTCCCCCATGTTTCCTTTGATATAGGCTTTATATATCGATTTATAGCAACAGGAACCATTGAAGAAAAGATCTTTCAACGTCAATCACACAAACAATTACTCTCTTCATGTGTTGTTGATGAAGATGCAGATGTTGAACGTCACTTTTCAGCTGAATCGTTACGGCAATTATTTCAATTTGATCCAAACACTATGTGTGATACTCATAGCACCTTTAAATGTTATAGATGTGTTAAAGGAGTACAGAGGATAGCTAGAAATCCGGGTGAAACTATGAATTATGGTGATACAAGCTCGTAAGAATTTTATTTTTATAACCATTGTTTTTTTTTTCTCTCTTGACAGTTATAATAATATATTTTTTTACAATAGATGGGATCATTTTACTGGTGGCGATGATTTATTAAAAATTCACGATGAAATATTGAAACTTGAAACTGGCAAAGGAGTAGTTTCATATGCATTTCAATATAAATCTCATTAATTTGATTATTATTAATTTATTTATTGTATTTTGATTTAAAAATTTTTTGAGATAGTAACAGATGCTCATTATTATTATAAACTTAATAGTAATTGATTTATCTTTAAAAATATAATTGAGAATGTATTTAGAAAATTAAAAATTTCAAATTATATATAATATAAATTCATGCTAAAATAAATATATTGGAAAAAAAATTAGGCAGGAAAAGGTTCAAGAATACAATACATTTATGTTAATGTAACTAGCCCACAAGAAAAAAGGAATTCTTTAAAAAAATAATACTAACCTCCTACATTGAACCTATCTATACTAATACCAAATACAAGTCCTACGTAGACAGCCTACAATAAGGTGTCTCGGGTGTAAGCCCCAACGTCGCGAACGACTCTTGTTGTTTTTCTGTAATATACTTCAAAAATATATTACAAGCTCCCGTTTACATCCCTAATGGTGGATTTGCAAGATGGACGATTAAAGATCTTTAAACCACCCAGATTTGACTTGATGTTTCCACAACATCAGCATGTTTTTCTAGTGTATCTTCAGTGCAGATGACGACCTTGAACCAAAGATACTTGCGGAATTCATGGAACAAATATTGGCAAAACGGGAATGTGACCAGGTCAACATTTACAGTTTTAGAGTGGTAATTTCGCACAACCATCTTGCTAATCTTTGATGACATTCATCCATAAGATTACGAATTTTCTTGTGGATCTAGAGCATTCACTGACGGATCTTATACTTCCTACACTTATTCGCTTCGCTATAAATAGAATTCCCTTCACCTTGGATTCTATCATAATACAAGCACAAGTATTCCCTTTTCCCCATTATATAATCACCAATTGGGTTATAGCCAGTCATGAAGGTTTTCGCTCCTAGATCAAGAGAAATGGTTCCAGCTCTTCTATTCTCTTCAACCACCGAAAATTTAGGACCTTGGTTATCTTAATTTCGAATGGTTTGAGGATACACAAGTAGAATTCATCAAGACGGTTCATGGCGAGACAAAAGTCGTAGTTTATTTCAGGCATTTCTTCACTTGTTTCATATCTTTGAGATATAAATGATGACCACGATTTCTTCTCCAGTCTCTTAATAAAATGGTGACTGATTGCCTTTTAGATTTGAATTTCAATGTAAAGCTTTTCCTTTTAATATTTGACTTGTAATTTTTTTAAAGCCATCCCTAATGTCATAAGCCTAGTGTCTTTAAATTTATTATTGATATAATTTTCGCTTATTTTTGTATGCGTGTAGTAATGTTGTTTGACGAAGTTTTAAAACTGTTACATCAAATTCGCTGTCATTAAGTTAAAAATGACGCAAGTAAAATTGCTTTAAAGGCTAATAAATATATACAAAAAAACCTATAAATACTGTATTCCGAAGTTTTTTTTATATTTTACTTGTGTATCCTGATCTCTCCTTTGTTTCATAAGTTATCCTCAAGGAGTCAAGTTTTTCTTTTGCTGAATATAAATTCAGCTCATTTACTGCTAAATTCGAACATTTCTTATAACCGTGATACATGATCGGGTAGATAATAATAAAATCATCGATTAGGGATTTGGTACTTTATTTACATAAAAGCTTTTTATAATTATTATCAAATTACTGTGTAATTATGGAATATTAATATTGATTGTCTTTATTTTAAGGATAATTTTGGGTCTTCGCAGAGGAAAATATTAAATAATTAACACCTTAATAAAATAAAACTCTATGATAGAATCATCAAATAAAAACATTGTCTTTATTTTCTTTGTTTAAAGCGTTTTGATAAAAATAACTAGTGTAATTAAAAGGTAACAATTATGGGACTATGATAAAAGCCACGTTTATTTGCTTTAGTGGGCAAGCAAGCGAGGTTAGGACTAAGGTTTCTGGTTGAAACTGCTTCTATTAGTAGCCGAAATTGCCCAAATACTTTGGGCAAAAATTATTTTTTTTATAAGCCCAAACTACTTTTTGTTATTAGCCAAAATTGGGCGAAATTATTTTAAAGTTGTTTAAGTTAAAACAAGTTGATTCATATAGTTTTTTAATGTTCATGCTTATAGAAAATGTTGAGAAGCCCAAATTGCCCAAACTAGTTTGGGCTTTGAGAAAACAGTTTGGACCAGAAACCTTAGTTAGGACTAACGTTGGTTATAACTAGCAAGTGTGTTAACAACGATTAGTAACGTAATTTGCTTTAATGAGTAAGCAAAGGTTAGGGTTAACTAGTGGATGTTAATGAAGTATCGTCCAAGGTTAATTGGAAATACTGGTGGTATTATTGTAATCGTAAATTAAACAAGCTACTTGCAAATAAATCAAAGCGAGCTAGAAATCGGCCAATAAACGATCATAAGTGAATAAAGGAATTTATAGAAGCCTTTGAGCTTTGTAAAAGGCCATCTTTACTTATTTATGGCTATCTAATACCATTAAGTGTGCTCATAAATTCGTCTAGGTGCAAGAAAGAGGAAATTCATAAACTAATTAATTGACAAACACCAAATTAACTGACAAGAGTAGCCGAAAAGTTAAGCCATAATTAACCAAAATGATACCTTTATTATTCCAAAACATCATTATAAATTAGCTTTAATATAAGGATAAAATAAAAAAATAAATAAAAAGATAGTGATAAATTTACAGTGGAGCAATTCATCAATTCTTTCTTCTACTATTATTACTAGAATTTAATGTTATTAATTAATTAACATTGTTAGTGGTAATTTCCAATTAATTAGTAGCGAGATTTTTGTTCACCTTGTTAACATTCTAGAGAAATCAAGATTATTCAACGAGCTATCATTACTTGTATAAATTTTAAAGCTTTTAGATTTAGCAATTTCTTCATCTAAGATTCTACTTTTATGATACGAATCTGGATGTGATTTGTGTGCTTGTTGCAAAATATTGCTACCACTACTAGTAGTATTATTACCATTATCATTATTATTTTTAAAAATTTCGTCACGTTTATTTCTGGAAAATTTCTGAAGCTCTCTACTAGTTAGTCTTTTTGATGGATCCACATTCCAGCACTTCTGCATCATTTGCACATAATCTTCAGGCATTTCAGGTAATATTGGTGGCCGTAAATCTTCTGCACATATATCAAAAATCAAACGACGATTGTGAGCTCTATCATCAAATGGTGGATGACTTGCAAATATTTCCCCCAACACTATAGATATCAGATTCTTTGGTTTCTCTTTACCTCTAAGTAGCTCGGGGGCAACATATGATACAATTCCATAAACTTTATTTGATGACTTTTCATTAACTGGTCCACATAATCCAAAATCTGTAATATAACAACAATATCCTTTTATATGTATATTACCATATGTAAATCACAATGTTTTTATGTATATCATCTAATGGATAGCATAAATGACAAAAGATTGTAATTCTGTCTTTTAATGTTAAATTTAAGTGGATTTTTTTGTAAATAATCTCTTAAATTTCCCTCTTAGCATAATCTAAAACTATTGCATAATTTCCATTATCTGGGAATTTAGTTATACCATGGCATTTAGCAATAAGTGATGCTTTAATTTTACAATAATTAATTGCCTGAAAATAAATATAAAATCAATTAGTATTATATACAGTATTGTTTATTTTGTTTTAAATAACAACTACTAACCTCATCAAGAAAGCTATTTCCTGAATTACTTGAATCATTTAAACTTTTTAATACTACATCTTGCACTCCAAAATAAATAAATTCCTTTTTATTTTCAATACTTCCTTTTGTCCATTCCGCAGTAAAATTGACTAAATTCACCTTTGGTCAACTTTGTTATTTTTTCAAATTGCTCAAAAGGTATCCGTTCTAAAATATGGTTTGGAAGAGATGATTACGTTTGACATTGTTGAATAAAATCATTAATTATGTTATTTTCAGATGTCCAAGTGGTGAAAAGACTCTGTAATTGTAATCTAATACAACCTTCACAGAACACATCAGAGTATCTTGTTTGTTATATTCTTTTGATTTTCCCAATTTGTATGTTGCATTATTTAATTCAAATCATAAGTAAACTGTTCCTCGCAATTTTCTTTTTCATTTTCAGAAAGTTCCTTGTTTTTTTTTTGGCTAATGAAAAAAAATAATCTTTTCTATTTTTTCTATTTTTTTTATTAGAATTAGAATTAGCATTATTAAGTATTTCACTATAAATTTTACATGCAAATTCCTTTCTTTCTAGTGATAATGATAATAATAGTTTAGCATGCGACATTATATAAAAATATAAATTTGACTTGGTATTTGTTTTAACGAATGTGGAGATTTTTCGATAATAACGATTACATTTTTTTCCTTTTTTTTTGCGGAGGGGAAACAAAAAAATTTATCGTACACCATTTTTTATAGTTTTAAGTTTTTCTCTAACAGAATTGATTGATAAGGATGCAAATTGAAAAACGAAAGTCACATTATTTGAAGAACAACTTTATCATTACCAAACTCTAGTGATCGATTTACCGTGATTCAACAATAAAAGAATTTCAGCATTCTTTGAAGATTTAAAACTTACAAAACCTGTCTTATGTAAAGGTCGTTTCAAGTACCAATATTGATCAACCTATGTTGCTTCAAACTTGGATACTAAAGACAGTTCAAGCACACTATTAATATTATTGCGTATTACGATTACGCGTAGTTAATTTCAAAGCCAAAAAATTCGATTTAACACAATTAATATGTATGTAAAGACAATTTGATTGTTTGCATTTTATTAATTTATAAAAATAAGACATTTTTTATTTTGAAGAAAATATATGGAAAGAAACAAGTAGTTTAATTAAGTAAATTTTCTAATTCGAATTATAACATTTTAAACTTTCCATGATAATTATTCATGCATCATCGCAATATACATTCAATGATATAATAATTTCTGGAACACACATTTTTACATAATTTGGAATCCTATTTTATCATTATCATTATTGCTGCTCGTATCAAGCGTTTTTACTTACGTAAATTCGTTTTACTTACGTCAAGTGTTTTCAATTACGTCAAATGTTTTTACTTACGTCTTGAGATTTTATTTTAGTAAAATCGTCAAAATGGCCCTGGCGAG